GGACGTACAAATGGATCGATGTGCTCGCCTCTATCGTTGATGAATACAATAACACAAAACATAGAACGACGGGTACGAAACCCATCGATGTGAGTAAGAGCAACGAAAAGAGAATTTTGAAAACCGCGTATAGTAGCATAAAAATATTCGGTCCTCGTAAACTTAAAGTCGGCGACATCGTTAGAATCAGCAAAGTCAAGCACGTTTTCAACAAAGGTTATACACCGAATTGGACCACGGAATTGTTTAAAATTGTTAAAGTACGGGTTACTAACCCCGTAACGTATTTGCTTCAAGATATGCAGGGTAAACCCATAATGGGCGGATTTTATGAAGAAGAATTGCAGAAGACAGTTAACCCGGACTTATATCTCGTCGAAAAGGTGTTGCGCAGACGAGGCAATATGGTTCTCGTGCGCTGGTTGGGATTGGATAAGTCGCACGATTCGTGGGTAGACAACGTAGACGTTTTGAAATAAATTTAGTCTCGATTTAGAAGTTCTGACATAAATACGTGTATATGATGGCTCAAGAGAAAATTGTGACATCCAACGAATTGTATAATTTATTGGAAAATTTCGAGTTGCAATTTCCTTCATCAGAAGTGCTCCCGTCCAGCTTCGTTCCTGTAGAGCAACAAACCAAAAAATCTGCGACCAAACGAAAACAAAGTGCGTCGGTCGTATCCCGCAAGAAGAAGAAGAAAACTACCACAAGTGAAGCGTTTGCAGCTCCAACGTCATCCGCTGATTGGCTCGAAGTGTTCACGGACGGTAGAGAAAAAAGTGTCATTTGTGAGGCATTCAATTTAAAAAGAAACTTGGCGTCTCAGTTGTCGGGATTAGAGTGCAATATCAACGAAATTGAAACACAAATTGCGCTTTTTAATACAGACTTGCAAGTGGCGCGGATGCAAGCTCAAGAGTGCAAAAGAAAACTAGAACAATTTAATAATTTAGCATTTAACGAAATTGTAAAATAGTAATAATGTATATAATAAATAAATTATACAATTACAAACTTCTGTGTAATTATTATGCGGTGTTGTGGTGGTGGTAAAAAAGAAAATAGCGTCTAAATATATACATGTTTATTCTTGTTGCAATACAATGGAATACAATCAATACATAAAAGTCTTATCTACAGTTACATATGTTATAATAAAACCACAGTATTAATAGTTCAATGGACTATCAGAAAAGCGTAACTTTTTTCCATATTTCCTCTCATCGTGAAGCATTAAATTACATTCATCTTCAGTTTCTACAGTGAACAAAACTTCTTCAAAGCAGCTTTGACACCAAAATTGTTTATCGTGATATACATCATTCAAATTATTTATATCCAGCTGTAAATGATAGTGATCCAATAAAAGTCTAAAATTTTTCTTTTTAAATTTTTTAACTACTTGAAATATAAAGTGACAAGATTTACAAACTAAAATTTCCGAATATTTTATCCTGTAATAACTGACCCATAAACAGTAAGCGGATTCTCCGTCAAAATCAATGGTTGGAGTTGCCAAAATGCTATTTCTGTAAGACGATCCAAATCTCTTATTCAACAGAATGAATTCTAAATTTAATAAAGAATTGCCATCAGACTGGAGCGCTAATTGTTTAAGGTACTTCCATCTATATTTCGAATAATATTTAAATATTAGTATCGTTAGTTTCCAAGGCAAAGGTGACTCAAGCAAAAAATCAGCACTACACCTAATATTTTCGCAAATTGTTATAATACAAAGGCTTTCTAATGTAAGTTGTTTGACCATAATCTGTAACAAAAATATATTAAAAAATAATTACGGCACTTTATAATGTCCCCACGGAAGCGTTTCATATGAATTCGGCAAAAGATAACGTTTATCGTCTAAAGGACTCAAGGCAACTTTTGTTTGTTCGATGCTAAATACATTGTGAGTGTATGAACGAATGGTTCGTTGAGTGGCGTACTTTTCCCTAAAATTTGTTAAGCATTCTACGTAGTCATCAAATGAAATTTTATTTTTTACAATATTGTACTGAATACCCTTTGACTTTTTAACTACCGAACCCGTTAAAATTTTGAAAGTATACATTTTCGACCTTAACCCCGCATAATGACTAATGATGGTGCCATTAGTCTCATCCTTCATCAACCCCAAAACCTTTTTGTTGATTTGCGGTATATTATAGGGATTGTCATTAGGATAATCAGACGTGTCAAATTTTGTTAAATCGGCCTTAATAACGCTTTCATATGCGTCATAACATTTGATATTATAAATGAAACTGTCCGTATCCATGTATTGAATTTTACATTTTTCGGGACCCAAATTTGGAAGCATGTAATTATAATGAAACTCGTACATGGTCGTTTTCGACAAATCCAATATGGACATTCCAATATAAAGTGGCTTATTAAAGCAAAGTTCCGATTTTTTTAATTCTATAAGCAACAAATTGTTATCAAGTATGGTTCTACTGTGAAATCTAGGACTAGAAATTAAATTTTTCGCACCGTAGCGACCATCCCACGCTTTAACAAATTTAACAATACGATGCTTGCGAATGTTTTCCATTGTTTTACCGTAAGCGGCATTATTAAACAATTTGTATAAATTTATACCAAATTTTGTCTTTGCTTGGGTTCTTAATTTATTATTATGATCGATATAACATTTCAACCAACGAGATTGGTTAAATTTTAATATTTTGTGAATTTTCTTTAGTACGAGACCGTTTTTGAGAGCCTGTTTTAAATTGCGATAGTGTATGACGTATTTTTCTTTATTATACAAAGTAGTCATTAGTTTTGGTAACTTTGAATTGGGGGGCACTCGATGTTCGGCACAAAATGGAAAATCTCTATGTGTGTCATGTAATTTCTGCGGGTATTCCAGGTCTACCTCTAGGATATATCCTTGGGAAGATTCATCTGGAATGTTCATGACATTAAATGAATCAATCTCTTGATGAGACATCCAGTCGAATCCTCCGTAAGGAAGAGGCTCGCACATGGCCTTGCCATAGAGGTTATTGACGTCAAAGTACATGATATAGGAATCATCCCTGGATGAATCGTAGTTGGGCATATATTTATTGTTGGCCTCCGCATATCTACCAACACACACCGAAATTCCACCTCGTATAGCCCGCTCGATAAACATAATTTGGTCAATGTCGCGCAAAAGTTCTAAACGACATTTTGTGAATCTAAGCATGCAATCCCATGTATACCCGGGCATACTGAAATACCACGCCGGATCCAAAACGTGTGTTGCCATACAAGTTTTTCGAAAATTTTCGAATATATCTGCCAGAAGAATAACGTCGGTTTTTAAATACAAATCTGAATACTCGCCTAAATTTTTTATTTCAAACGACTGCCAAACACTTTGTGCGTGGGAATATTTTTCTTCACTAATATTGCTTTCACTTAATTTATTATAGAATTCTTCAATCGGGGGTAAAGTTGTTTCATTTAATTTGTCTATATGGTCGATGTAATCGTAACAAAAAATACCTTTTTGCGACAGTAAATTTAATTTTGATTCGTCGAGATCGGAAAATTCTTTTCTTAAAATATATAGTTCATTTTTATCCATACTGGAAACTAAATTATCCAGAGATGCTCCCAAAAATCTAAACGAATCTATAAATCTAAATTTTATGTTATAATCAGGTTCGAAATATGTAAAAGAGATGTATTTTTCCTTATTAACCGGAACTATGGATACATAGCTTTTTTTTGCTAAAACCGGAAGCAGGAAGTGGCTATCGTATCCAGAAAGGTTCTGGAATACTACGGGCACTACAAATATTTTTTTAAAATTTAAATTACAAGCCTGATGGGCAAAACCTCTAAATTTACCAGTAAAATGATCATGGTCACGAACAATAACATCTTCTTTTAAAAAAGGTTTTTCACAAATATGACAATGACTCGACCTTTGATCTAGACTAATTTCACTATCCATTGGTATAATATCCTTAAATTTTGAACGAACAAATTTTGATAAATTAGATATTTCCTCCACGAACCAATCAATACAATCTAGACCACGATAACTTTTGAAAAATGATATTGAATCATCATAAGAACATTTAAAGTAATATGCAGCACTGTAAGCTTCGTGCTTTTGGTATTTCGAGGTTTTATCTGAAATTTTCAAATTTACTTTTCTCAATTGACTCTCAAAATCGGCGTAAATTACAAACGGAGTCCTTTGTTTATATATATGGTTTCGAAATTCAACGTAATCATATTTGGGAAAAGACACTTTATACTCATTGAAACTGGAACATATTGTTTCGTGGTCATGTAGACGAGTTTCGTTATTGAAATAATTCAAACACCTATCGCAAATGTATTTCTTGTGATTATATTTACTGAGCTGTGAGGAAACTAATCGAGACAAATTTTTAATGTAACAATAGTGATATTTTATTTCTTCATAATCATTATCTTGCGGATCAGGATCAAAATCATTAACTTTTGGATAATATTTATTTTGTATTAACAACAAATTTGAATGTTTTTCGCGTTTTTCTTTTGTTAATCGTGCAGGTAACACGGAATAAAAACTAGTTTTTTCATTTTTATTAAGCTCTAAGATATAAACATTGATGGAAATATCATTGTCTTTTTCAAATTTGCTTATTTTATTCATTTCCATAGGTGTTTGTAAATTTTCAGTTTTCAAAACACTTTTGTAGTATGGATATGAAGAGGGTAAATACTGACGAAAACGTGCTGGAAAGAGTCCGCATACAACTGACCAATAAAAACACGCTTGATCGTCATTTCTAATGTTAATACAAGCCCTTTTATTCGCAATTTCTTTAGGCAACTCAACGAAGGATGACCCGTTACCCATTTCAAATTTATTAATGTTAATCTCTAAATAAATAATATTATTTAAAGCCCACCCGGAATCACGTTCCTGAAACTCTGACATTTGATTTAAAATTTTATCTTGCACATTTTCAACAAACCAATGATTCAATTCTGTTCCTAAATCAACTACAGCATTTCCGGTACTCAGATATTTAACATCAACTTCGCCTTGGACATCATTTTTTGCCTTAATAAATTCACCGCAAAATGTGGTATTTACTTTCAGCAATAAAAATTTCTTTAAAATTTGACTAATTTTTTGTTGAAATATTGGACGAGAATCGTTTAAAAATTGAATTAAATCTTTATGAAGTAAATTAATTATGACACCAGTCTGAACTCTTCCCTGGAAACACGACGCTACCGATTCCCATACAACCATTTCATTTGTGTTTGTCTCGCGGCTACTACTTTGTAATCCCAATCCAAAATGCTTATGTTGATAATTAAGAATAATTTTTCTAATAGCTTTCAGATGTTGAATTGTAGTTTGTAATTTTCTTTTTAACCCAATAGATAAATCCTTTTCGTTAGAAACGATTTGGTTGCAAGATTCAATATTTTTATTTAGTCTCCTAAGCCACACATCACTATCTCTAAGAGTGAACTTGTCGGAAATATGCTTTTTTAATTTTTGTAAGGTTAAAATTAAGATTTGCGCTCTATGAATGATCTGCTTTACGCGCATCGTGGTTTATTAAATATATAACAGTAAATAAGACTTACCCTGTATAATATGTTGATTAATTTTGAATTATTTTGAATTTCTTTAAAGAGTTGGGCTTTCCAATATCTTTGGATCCCTCGTAGACCAGTTTGTACTGCCCCGACGCAAAGTGTTCTAGTCTCGGACGGAAAGCTTCTGTCACGCGAGTAGGAAGAAATACTACGGAATTTTCTAATTGCAGCAACACGGAATTGCCAAATTTTGTATTAACAATTTTGGCTCTAGTAATTTTAAACGGAACGCCTATCGGCAATTCATGCAGTTTGACAATCGGCTGCTCAAAATCACCTTCTGCAAGACAGGTTTGATTCAGTTGACTTAAGTCCATCTATAAATTATTATTAATTATTTTATCTCAAAATAAAAAAAATAAAAAAAACTTACGCTTAAGATTGCTGCTATTCTATTTGCGGTTACGGGTTGAGAGTACTAAGATGATCTTTAGGAACTTTATAAAATAATAACAAATGTTAAAGAATTAAAATAAGACAATAAAAAAGGTACTTACTGCTTTTTTGTACGAACACCAAACTACTAAGTTAGCTTCCACGTTGCACGAATAATACCAAAAACAACTACTGACAAAACAGAGAAAAATGAGATGTATTTATACGGTGCGAGAATACTTTCTAAAAGTTAACAAACGAAGACACCTCCACATGCGTTGCAACAAATTTTTCCCATTACGTTAATCCCACGGAGCAAATATAAAGGGGGCAATTAATTATTATTCTCAACAAGCAAAACAACTCGACATTTAGACTCGGCGCGTTTTGAAATTCCACATCCCATACGGAGATTGTAAAAAATGAAAGCAAGTTGGCCTTGATCTTTTGCGGCAACATACGTTCGTCCAACGTCCGAAGCGGTTGCGTTCCCGTGTGAAAGCGTGTTGACCCTGAGACTCCTACCTGCACGGTTGTCTGGCGACAACATCGCGTCTATTCAAATCGGCGTTGGTACTTGTGGGTAGAAGACCTTTTCGACTTTTAATTCAACCATGGAAGGGAGTGCATGTGTATAAATACGTTGCATGTGTATTATAGACTATATTCAGTGCAATGAATACAGAAGTGCGATGTCCATTTCCCTACGACCCTACAACTGGTAAGTTTTATATTTTAATTACCTTTATACAGTGCGCGTCTTTTCTTGTGGGTTTCAGTTTGGGTTATCACTTTTTTGGTTAGTTTCTACCTGTTTTTAAAATATGATACTCATCTTTTTTACGTTGCATAATAACCGATTTAAATTGAGTGTTTTTAATAGCTTTTAAATGACAGTGAATGGAAAAGGGAATTTTGGCTTTTAAAAAATAAACAATTTTTAAATTTGTTTCAAAAATGTTTTATTTTTTGTACTAAAAAATTGCAGTTTGCCTTTTTGACAATAATAATCGAATTAAATTGAGCGTTTTTAATATCTTTTAAATGACAGTGAATAGGGAATTTTGGCTTTTAAAAAATAAACAATTTTTAAAATTACTGAAAGTTTTGTTTCAAAAATGTGCGTTTTATGGGGAAAACGCGAAATATATACATATTTTTGTTTATTTTTTGTACTAAAAAATTGCAGTTTGCCCTTTTGACAATAATACACGTACATTTAAATGACAGTGAATTGAAACGTGAATTTTGGTATGCGCGTATAACTTAAAAAACAATTTTTAAAATTATTTGATAACCCCCCTTTTTGGAAGTTTTGTTTAAAAAAAATGTGTGTTTTATAGGAAACGCTACATATCATACTTTGTTTTGTTCTAGAAAAAATCGCGGTTTGTCCGTATGACAAGTCGCATATTATGTTGGCGCATCGCTTAGGGCGTCACATATTCAAATCACACAAAGAGTACCGGGGGTTAGAATTCCCGGTACGACATGAAACGACAAGGGAACATCACCAGCAGCAGGAGCAACCCGGTGGATCAAAAGAAACAAAGGAGCAGCAGGAGTACCCGGGTGGGTGGTCGACGGAGTGGGACGGCGAGGAGTGCACTTCGTATTTAGATTTCCTCCGGGAACGGGAAGAAGAACAACGCAAGGAACAGGAACAATGGGATGGTCGACTGAATCGACATAAAAAGAAGAAGAAACTCCTCGCCAGACCAATTTTATAAATAAAATAAAATAAAATGTATTAAAATTCAAGTTTATTTAATTATCCTCCCGATCCACCGCGTCACCGCGCCGCACCGTCACCGCCCTCTACCGGGGGGGCCTACGACGGTCGGAGCGCGCGACATCTAGCAGCGACGGGCGGAACCGGGGCAAAACAGGACGCTACACAAGCTGGCGACACAAGCGCGCGACATCTAGCAGCGACGGGCGGAACCGGGGCAAAACAGGACGCTACACAAGCTGGGTGGGGGGCGGAGCGCACTCTGGTAGACAGGGGGGACACTAGGACGCCACGCGCGGGGGGCCCCCGCTGCGGGGGGGTTAGGAAATTGAGGTTATGTACGGTTTCTGTTGCTTATATCGGCACTATACATCTACTTGTATAAATAAAATAAGGATATTATCAAAATTATTTAAAAACTTCCTCCACTTCTTTGTTTACCTCTATTGTAAATATTCTTTATGCAGGTACTGCTGCTCGTAACATAAATCACCGTTTATTCATTTATGCTTGATACTATTGGATACTATTGTATGGTATGTAATTAAGGTGCCTCGATAACCAGTTTGAGATGCATGTGCCGCTTTTTAAGACTCTATTCATTGTATGGAGGCCAGACGATCATAAACGTCTTAATTATTTTATCATTACCGTAATATCCTTAAGGCTCGGAGTTAATGCGAGACGGTGCCTACCGAACCCAAAATTTGTTGACAAACCCCTTGAAAACTTTTGCAACAAACAAGACAATCCCTCGCAGCGACAATAACTTCGGCGACACTGATCCGAACCAATTACGACCGTTAAGAAGCTGACAATACTAATTTTTATATCGCAGGTAAAGAGTACCATTGTAACGACGGTCGGAATCAAACGCTCGTAATTACCGTAGACGTCCAAAACAACCGCCCCCTTTCAGCCGGGGGACCGTACCCCGTGTGGTGACCATATTTTTTCCGAATGGGCATCGAAGAGAATAGGTCAATTTTCGGAAAGTGCCGCGATATTTTGGTATACTTTAACGGATGACGGTTCCCGTTCCAGGCCCACTCTCAGTTCGCGTTGAATGGTGCTCGGTAGTTGGGGACCGATAGTTTGGTGATATATTTTAAACAGTGCCACAGAGATGCGGGACGTTTTAAAAATATTCCGCTTATTTTTACTTTCACTAACCCTCGCGTGCGTTTGCGGCGGTGAGTGTGAATATTTACGTTTTTTGTAGACTAAACTGCGGGGTTAAAATTGGTCATTTTTATATCTGCGGGATTTATGATAATTCGTCGAGAAAGATTTTTGGAAGTTGCAGCTGAAGTCGTACGAAACGCACTAGCATTCGGAAAAAATACGAAAATTTAATTTTGAACTTCACATATACTCGAAAAAAGAACTTCATAGTTGTTATGATTATTGTTATCATATCAAAAAAATTACACATGCTTGGCTTTCTAAACAACGAGTGGCATTTTTATTTGAATTTTCTTCCCTGATTGTTAATATGAGGTATTCCCGACTATAAACCGTTTTAAAATATAAAAATTGACACTTATTTGACAAACAAAACGTTTTTTTCTTTCTTTCTAATAATTTTTAGTATCAGTATTTCACCCTGACATTGAGCATTGAACATTTGTTTGCACTTCTCTTGAAATTTCACCCAGTCGACTCGCATTCGTTACAGAATACGTTGAATAAAAAAATAAAAATAAAATTTATTAGAACTCTAAGAAAATAACCACCAACAACTTTGGTTGTTACCGAATCGGTGGGTCGTATTTTATTCTTGCACTTATACCCAAAATATTTACCATTTTTTGAGGCTTAACGTGCTGGTTCGTAATAAGTAAAGTAAAGGAAATCTTACTTATGCACAAGCTTCAAATAAGGGCTCCGGTGAAACGTTGCTAAAATAAGCGATGCAAAAATTTCCAAAATTGTCAACATATTTTTTGATATTTAATTGTTCTTGATAAGCTCCGGCACTTGCTTTATTATTTGCTATTTAAGAATTAAAAATTAAATATCAAACTTCCAAAATATAAAGTAAAAACTAAAATTACATTTGGCTCAATCTTCATATGCCTATTTTAATTCATAAACTAATTATTATACAACGAGTCCTTCAAACAGGGAGGCTAAGACGCGGCCGAATGCGAAACGTCAACGTTAAGAGAGTCATTAAAAGGTGGACGCTTTCCGTTCCCACTGGAAAAGCGTTTTAACGCGGGACCCACTTGCGTGAATCTTATCGCAGACTCCACAATGCACTCCGTACAGAACGTAAAGAGGGTTTATTGCTCCTCGAACGGCTTTTAAATTCATCCACTTATATGCGTCAGAAACACAAAAATGTGTGCCGTTTAATCTGGCTTAACGACCGAAACTCTCTCGCGCGACACCCGCCTCTACAGGGCGACTCAAAATTAACTGTTTGAACCCGCCCGAATGTGCTGGAGCACCCTTTCAAAGGGAAACTCCCCTTTCTTAAGGAGACAGATAACTGTTTCAGGGTTAGAGGCCGTTTCGAAAATATGCATTTTTGAGAACCCGCTGTAATTTTTTTACTATGAAAATGTTTGCTTCATGTGAGGTAAAGTCTGTACATAGATATAAGAAACTGACTAACTAAAATAAAATTACAAATTATTTTTATTACCTACTTAAATTACTTAAAATTATTCACATAATATATCACTATCGCTATCATCGCCTGTTCTAATTATTATTTGTTCTATATTATTTGCTATATGGATATACGATTGTTTTGCCTTTTCTATATGTTTAACAGAATTTGCCCAACTTTGTGGAGGAATGTTAAAATTTTCGGGGAAAACATTGTTACGACGAATGGCAGATTTCAGTTGGTGCCAATAGGATTAAATGTACAGTGGTGGAAGCCTTAACACTGTATGCCCTAGATTTTTGGCATAATTATCACAGATGTATTCCTTTTGTAGGTTCAAGCTTTGTAGAACCTCAATTAATTGCTTTTTGGTATAATCTTCGTGAAAATAAATGTCGTTATTATACATGTAGTTTTGGATTGTTGCTTTTGTGAATTTTCGTCAATGTGGCCGTTTCTTCTAAAGATGCTTGCTTCCTGGCACCACGGTCAATGCTTAGTCTCAATAGAACAGTGTTTTCTACATTTGGGATACACTAGATTTGAGATACACTAGACTCGCACATATTTTGCATAATTCGCACACGATTCAACACACGCTGTATTACATCCGAAATTAGAATGATTACTAATAAACTTAAACTAAGTAGTATACCAAACCAAAGAATATTAAACACAGGTAGGTATAAAATTATTTTCTATCACGGACCACAATTTTAATGACCACCCTTGGATAATCCCATTCAAAAGCAATTGGTCACTTTCTTATATTTATGAATAGACCATACAGTATTTTTAAAATTAATGGTTTAATGATTATCAATTGTAAAAACGTTGTTTTATTTATGCCACGGTGTATATTTTCGAATAATTATAATTATAGCATAGAGACATTTTTCATTTTAAACAGGTTGTTTCATAATAAGATGCTGATTCTTAATGGTGTGATGAACATGAAAATGCGAAAAGACCGTTTTTTTTTTATTTCAACACCCTGCATATCAAAAATAATGCGTCTGTTGTTTATCAAACATGCTGACGTTTCGCCAATCATCTTGTCGGACGGACGAAAGAAGAATCGAGAAGTTTAGGAAATAGTATTCCAGTTGCCTGTGGCAGTTTCTTTAAAAAACTAAAAATAATGCGATTGCGGACATTTTTTTTTCTAACAACTAACTTTTTTATGAAACACTATGTGTACTAATTTAAACAAGAATAAGCTTTGGACAGGGCTATAATTGAGAAAACAAATGATTGTTAAATTGTGATTTTAGCTTAATACGTTAAATTTTAGTTTAGTCTTTCAACTAAACGCGATATGATAGTTTGTGTTATAAAGGTCGTAAAATATAAACAAATTTTGAGAAGATTACGACACAGCTTAATTAATAGTGGTCAATTTTAGACACGAAGGCCCAAAAACTAAACATCAAAATGGATATTTACTTACAAGATATAGTTGTTTAGAAAGTAATTCAACATAATCCTCTACCACGTTAACACAAGCTAACGTTAAACGAACTTTAAAAAAATTACAAACCATGCAGTGGAGCGGAGTACCCGACTATATCTGAAAGATTGGAGTAAAACTAATAACCAATTTCTAACTACATATTTGACAGTACGCGTTTGTTTTCTGTATTACGATCAAACGGTTCAAAGCATAAAAAGTTAAAAACTTTAGAAGTAAACTCGAGCAAAGACTGATCTTTTCAGTTATTCTTAACGGTAACAGATAGTTATGTACGGTTTTCACCGGTTGATTCACCCTGTATAACATTTAATTAATTGAATAACAGTTGCCAACGGTGGACGCTTTGTTCTTTTCAGATGACCTCGCGAAAGCCGAGACTAATCCGATCACTATCGCATACGAAAACAACGGAAAAGTCAACATTTCCAGTTTGGAAATTGTGGAAGCAGCACTCGAGTTCGTGACGACCACCCAGCGGCTCGTTCCGTTGTATTCGCCAGATGTTGACGAAACGTCGGGCGTGGCGGATTCCGGGATTTCAACATCTGGCACTGCGAAACAATCGAGCGCTGATGACGTATCCGCATTGGGCGGCAAAGAGATACTTTATTCTAACGTGGTCAATGATGAAGGTCAGTGGAATGTCGAACCAGATGTTACACGTGGTGTTTACAATTTTCTAACCCTCGATTATTCTGCAGGGACGACGACAGAGGATTTCCCTTACGACGTGCGTACCGAGATCACCGTCGTAGAAGAAGTAAACGGTCATACGGTGCGCAGGAAACCGACAGAACAAGAGTTGAAATCGTTGAGCCATGTGGTGGACGACGACGACGACGTCCAAGACATGTCAGCCATACTCAAGCTCGATCCGGAATTTCGCAAGTCCAACGATGAATACGACGACGACGACAATATCGAAGACATGACGTCGATTTTTGAAGAGAACGCCGAGACGACGACCCGGGGGTACACAAGGAAGGTCGTCCACATCTACAAGAACACCAAAGAGTTTACAACGTTCTCGAACGTGTCCGAGGGTGACCCTTTCGAAGACGACACCACCCAGAAGTCCATTGAGTTTTCCACAGTGAACGGGGACACAACTACGCAAACTGGCAACGATATAGATGGGTCGCTTGTAAAAGAACCTACTTCAACGTATCAGCAAGACTTAACTACATCAACAACAGTAAATGATGTCCTAACGAATACTACGAGCTTAGATAATCAACTCACCACAACGGCAACACCTACGACGATAAGGACTCACGACTTCCCAACAACCAACGTTGATACTACCACTGCAGCTGCATCGACTACCACGGAATTTGCAACTACTGAAGTACATCAAGTAACAGAAATGTCTACCTCTGTGATGCTCGAGATACAACATAAAGTCACTGAGACACCAACCACCGCCTCTTTGGAACAACTTACTAGTATGACGACTGTTTCCAACGAAAAGACTGAGACTTCGTTACCTTCCACTGAGAAGACGATGGAGCTCTCGATATCCAACACAAGCATAACAACGAATGAATCGAACGAAACTATTTCAACCACTATCGTTACTGTAATTATCGACGACACTACCAAACGTAGCGACAACAACAGCGACGCAAAAGAAACGCAGCCCAGTCTGACTTCTAGTGAAGTGGAGTCGATATACAACACACAACTTGAGCAGTACGATTCCGATGAAGAAGTAGCTCCAGAAAACGAAGGTTCCTCCACCCACCAACCATCAACGGCAACGACCGCGAAGGAGAGTATAGCTGAAGGGTCGGAACCGCCTGTTTTGACACACAGAATACTCACCAACCAGGCGGTGTTTTCGATAAAGATCAGCAAAAAGGTAATTTTCGCGTAACATCATAGGTACCCGGAGATAATATTTACCTCGACTTTTCAGGACAAAACTTTCTACGTTCCCACGCACGCGGTCATCACGCAGAACAACAGCGCGGTTACGATCTCTTGGAAGGGAGATGGACCGGTCGATAATTCTGTAGTCCTACGTATAGCCGAGCACGACAAGTACCACGTCATCAAGGAGATTCAATTGAACATCTTTAGAGGTACGAATTTAAACGCGTCTTTTTAAGTTGACCGGTGCGTGATAATTCCGTTTTAGATGGAGAGATGTTCAACCAAAGAAAACTCACCGCTTTTACGCCGGCGCATTCCGACGATGACTCCGCTCAGGGAAAAACGCGGGTCGTGATGATGAGAGACGGCACCTACGTTCAGTTTTCCAACGTCGATTTTTTGAAGAAACCTGAAGAGTCGGAAATAACGGAGGCCGCTGCCAGATCTACGAGAATGTGGCATTTGGAGATAGCGTCCATTTGCTTGACCGTAGTCGTGCTGGTTTCCGTCACCGTTTATGTAGTGACGGTCAAGGCGAAACAGCGACACCACAGTCGTAAAAAGGTGGGAGAAGTTCTTGACACCAGGTGTTGACGTCACAGGGTTAGGTTTGTAATTCGACCAAAGACTTGCGAGAAGACCTGAAAAATAGGTCGTATCAGGGTTAGTTTTGAAACCAAATTGTCATCTGTGGTAGATACCATCTGCTGGTGCTGCGTTTGCGATATCGGTGCTGGTGGTTAAAATTTATGCGTGCATGCGTGTATATACGAAAATTTTAATTGTACATTTTTTGTTATATAATAGAAATATATTACTGCCATATTAAAAGAGCAGATGGTGATTGTATACTTTTTCCTTACCTTCGAAACAAGTGAAATATGATTAAGCGACAAAACGTGATGATTCTCACCCCTTGTTTAAAAATTTAACGGTGCGCCCACCTACGACGCAGGCCTGTTATTTGATCCCCCTTATGCAGGACCAACTTCCTGCTGCCTAGCCAGTATCATTTTACATTTTTATTTTTACCAGTCAATCAATATTGAAGTTTGTCTAACCGTTTTTTTAAATGCACTACTGTATAGTTCTATACAATAACTTTATAAAATAAATTTGAAATTTAATAAATTTCTCTGATTTATTGCTCGAATGTGTTGAACAAGAAAACGCGAATACACATTTATTAATTGAAAATTGCGGTACTCATTTTTATAAAAATTATGACCCAAATACAATATTAAGTTGCAAATTTTGTCGCCCAAAAATGAAGCTAAATGTAAAAAGAATTTTTTTAAAGTTATCTCACTGGACCCAAAAATTTGAATCTAGTTAGCGCTTAAACGGATTTTCACCACTTAAATCAACGCTACGAATTTTTGACGAAATCAATAAAAGAATTTATTCAAGACAATTAACAAATCATTATAAAAATAAATATGAAATAAATAATATTTTAATCTATAATGTAATATACGTAATTTTAAAATTAAGGGACAACCGAAGATATGACTGAACCTGTTTTAAAATAAATAAAAAGTCGATATTTTGCAGAAAGTTACCTGTATATATTGTAAACAATTAGAGCATATTAGATCCAATTAAAAACAACAATTTTATTAAACCTATTTTCATAAAATTCTGTGAGACCTGCCGGTGCATCTCCCAGAAAAATATGCTGCTTTAAAGCTGCTCGCGCCATCTCATGGGATATCTGAGAAAGTTACAATTGCCCGCTCGCTTGGTAGATGGCTGTTGTTTTGTGCTTTGAATAAAACAAACTTTCATAAAATATGATGTTATCGGATCTACATATCATTAATAATTTCTCAAAAAATAGTAATTTCTGGCAGATGTTTAAATTGAAAAACAAATCAATTAATGAACTGGTGAGGGTGGAAACGTGTCGAACATTAGGAAGATGCAGGTGACATGGATAGGCTCCAGGGCCGTATTAAATTGCGTTAAATATTTATCCACAGCGTCAATAATTTCGAATAGTATATGACCTTTTCTCACGCCAACGAGACAAGTGTAAGCAAACAGTTTCACTTTCTATACCTATTATTTGGACCCCAAGATCCACTGAAAATATCGTAGGTGCTCGAAGTATTCAGAAAATTATACGCTTGGGTATTTGCTTTAAACATTTACTAGTTTGAGGAGAATTTTAATCAGTGTTGCTCACGATTGTGGAAAAAGTGTTTTTCTCGCGTTTTTAGTTGCCTGGTATTGTGATTCGTTTCTATTTGGGACGCGTGGCGGCCGGTCCTGGACCGCACCAAAGCGCCGTGAAAAACAAAATTGAAACGGCGAGCCACGAGCTCCGATCATTATTCAATTAAATTGGCCTGGTGTCATAACACGGACGATGATTCCAGCTGCCGCAGTATATGCTTGGCATCAAAACCACCATTTTGGCTCAATCGGCCATTGAGCTGACAACATTGACCACACGAAAGCCCAAAGTACAGATCTAGCATGGAATCATGGTCTTAAACTTTACTAGATTTTATGACGTAAGCGAGAGCGGTTGCAAAGATAATTGAATGGTTTGGCGCAGATCAAATTTATTTTAGGATGTTTTAAAGATATTATTGTTATTATTATCACAATTGATCAGGTTGAGATTACGCTGACTTAACTAAGTTTGATTTTATATTCTGAGAAGTGTTACAGGTCTACCTAAAAAGTGTACCATATTGGTATGAGCTAACCATATAGGCGTTAGATAATATAGAAATCCTATAGAAATTGATCCGCCTCAGGTAGTTATGATACCATACTTATTCATACACTTAACTCCTTTTTGTCTGAAGATTTATGGGTTCTGGACATATTTTCAATTTTTTTCAAAAATGTTTTCATAGTTGCATATCTCTACTAGCTATAGGGAACTGACCACTGTGTTACGTAAGATCTCAAGGGATTTGGATTTTCGTTTTTTCCTTGTTTCTTTTCTCTTATGTATTTATCAAATTTTCTATTTCTTTGTTTTATTAATCTTATAAATTTATTAGATTCGTATTCCCCGAATTGTATCTGCCGCTGCACTAGGATTGTAAAATTGCGGATAATTCTGATGAATAATTATTAAAATTATTTTAAACCTTTCAAAAGTTTTGTTTTCATCTGCTACATTGCGGAACGGAACGGCTTTTTGAAGTTCGGAAAACTCCAGAACAACACGTCAAGAAAAATTAGTAATAAAATGCCTTCAAGTGCTTTCGTCTGAAAGCGTAGATAAGTTGGACTGATTATAAAAGCCACCCTTTCAATTGAGATTATCTCTAGACCGATCTGCCACCCCGTGTCTCAAACGAGAAACAAAACAGAATCACTTCTACTTGGAATTAACAGCTTTTTCGATAGCGGAAACTTAATTATCGATTTCTTAATATTTTTATTTATTTTTCGGTCGATAAAAGAGAGGGGTGAGGGAGATGAAGACGGCGTGTAATTCCTCGACGTAAGGGCGTCCGCGAAGCGGAACTGAACTACTACCGGGCAGGTGGGACCCATGATTGGAAATAGCAAGATTTCAGACTTCGTCACGCTCGTGACCAATACTTTAATTTGAACAACTGTGGCCTCTTTGCCGCATCACCGATTGTTTACCCTGGGTGCGGTGAGGACAGGAAATGAACCATTTCGAATTGAGACAAACTTAAGATATATGATAATTTTTTAACGCATCGAAAGTGTGACGATAAAAAAATCGGCCTTATTTCATTCTTTAAATAAGCTAAGTCTTTTGCGGAATAAATTGATAAAAGTTGTCAAGTTTCATGTATACCAAAAGCAACCACTAAAACCCACCATTCTTCAAAAAAATTCGCCAAAAATTGTTATCTGGAAAATGCGCATTTAAAAAACAATTAAAAAAACATTTCTTCTGTTACTTTTTGTGTTTTTCCGGACCACAGTTTAGAAATGTTGTATGTTTTCCAATTGAAAATAATCTAAAAATGAAGTTTATTTTGAAAAGTCGAAAATTCCTCCTACAAAGGTAATATTGCGAAGTACATATCAGCGGACATATTTATTAAAAATTTTACAATTTTTAAGGGAGCAAGACTTGATAATTTTGCCAACGCGTTTTAACCTGATCTTGAGTCCATATAATCCTTAACAGAAGCTTGTAACTAAGAGCCAAGGTGTCACTTATCAGGGAAGGTCGATTAGAAAACATCGTTAACTCTCTATACGTCCGGCAATTTTTTTTTATTTATACCGCACGTTTGGAACGGGGGAGCGTGCATACAGGATGTGAGCATAACCGGTAAGGTACTCACATAAAGACACACATGGTTGGGTGTGACCGTTGGAAATTTACTTTACCATAACGGCGAGAGCACGGCAACCGAGCCGCCTCGCCCCGAACTGAGATTTATTTTTCTCCTACGTCATCGACTGGGCTCCCTGGTCAAAGCGTCGGATGAAGAATATAGGTTATGTTTCGATTCTCTTCTTCTGTTCGAATAATTTGACAAAAAAAATGACGTTAGGCTGCTCTCGTATTGACTAGGAATATTACTTGACAGTTAGCCTGCTTCATAACCGAATAATGTATAATGCATAAACAGCAAAGTAACAACAAAAGGAGTGATATAAAAAAAATCACGATAAAAACACTGGATTGTTTAACATGAAACCAAAAAAACACATGAGTGGAAAACAAACGTGGAATAACTGCAGAGAAAGTTAGGAGGCAAGGAATAGTCAAGATATACTGGGTGTATCAAAAATATGTGCCGGTGAATAGAATAATAAAAAATAACGTATACTTGGTTAAACAAGCATGTGTCAAAAATACCTCCTTCAGAAGATACTGGAAAAGAGCCCCAAAAATACAGCTTTTTTAAAAATTATTTCTGAAAGCATTAAAGATACTAACATAATATTTAGACTACGCATTTGATTTGATTGCGTCATAAAAGTTAGTGCGGACCAAATTTTAATATTTTCAGGGGCGTCGCTAAAGAGAGGTGGCCAAAAATGATATTTTTTTGCCTGACTGACCGAATTACTAATATTAATCTTACTGATCGTACTAATATTAATCTTCGGGAATAATGATTATTTAATTTTAACCTGACAGAATCGAATGTATTTGTGGTCTGAATTTTATTTAGGGGTCATAATCCGTTTCAAGAAAAAAAAAACGAACGTTATTATATAATATAAAATCATCAAATTTCACATTAAAAATGCGATGTAAAAAACAAATTCAACAATTAGTTTTTGTCCATATTTTTGTGAATGAAAGATAATAAAAAAAAGTTATGAAAACAAAGAAACGCCAAAAGCAAACTTATTTTGAAAACTTAATATCACTTGAAACATTGATTACTCTTTCAATTGATATGAAAGTCACAAAATATATCAAGACGGGATACTAAAATTGTTCGAGCCTTTCGATTTGTAACAGAAAAATATCTTGTTTCTTTATTTGCCTTCTACGGGGCCAGTATTTTAACGGCGTCCAGAGGGCCTTACGCGGTAAACGGAGATGCAGTGATTCATCTTACGAATATTCGTCGGATGAGTCATTTTTACGAAAGACCGTTGACGTAAAATGGCAACAGAGGACACCATCCCCGACGATATGTTTCCCTTCCCGGTCTCGTCCTTTCCCACGCAATTGTTCCGAAACGAGCCACCGAAATGTACGACAAAAATTTACATTATTTATGGGCGGCAGTAATCAATTCGAAAGTAATTTACGTCGTGACAGGTATTCCGTAAAATAATGCACCGCCGCGAAGGGGAAAAGCGCTTTCCGAGTTTTCCCACATCAATGGGAAGCGCTCTCGCGCGCGACGTTGCCGGTGTTGATCGAAAAATTTATTACTAGTGAATAAAAAATTGCCTACACGGTTACCGAAAAAAAATTAAACTGCTTGATGAATATTTCCTTGTGGAACAGATGGTTTTTGCGCCACTGAGTTCTTAATCTGGCGGTTCTAATAGTTCAGGAATTTGTTCAGCAGGAATTTCCTATCCCAAGAAAAATGGTTTTTTTCTTTTAACTTGCAACTTGCAACAGAGAAAAGAGTAAGAAATTAAATAGAAAAAATATTCAAACCTTAAATAAAGAAAATAATATCGGGGTAGTTTTTTTAAGAGCCCTTAATTTTTGAAGTTAAAAGGGATGATCTGGCACCGTCGCAACTATTGTTTGGCGTAATTTTAGGGTGGTGCCACTTTTAAATGAACTCGTTACAAACGAATTCATTTAATATGTCCGGTTGTTTAGGCTGTTAACATAAATTTGGGAGCGCTCACGTGTTTAAGATGTGAAGAAAAAAAAACGGTTTTTAACGTATTCCCTGGGCCAGCGAAAAAATATTAATTAGAGCAAGTAAACAATAATATTTCAATTGTTTTTGGATTTTTTAAAACAAGGGACTTAATATTAGGCCAGAAAATTAAAGTTTATATGAAAATTGTAAAAAAATTCTGGTAAAACTTCTTTTTCTACTCCTGACTCTAAAATACCCAATTATGCACTGATCAAGCGTGCGGAAAGTGCCACTTTAAGACGTCGGCTTCGTTACCCACGGTCAAGCACCACTTTGGAGACGTCCAATACTAATGATGTTTTCGTTAGATTCTAGCGACGCATGGTATTTTGACGTTTGTTAGTTCGCATGGGCACGTCACACGTCACTAAAAATGTTATCAAAAAGTCAACACGTTGATTACATGTTCAGTCCCCTGTTTATTAAACATAAACTCGTCATTAAAGTGTCGTTTATCAAACTGGTTTCTTTTTTACTTTTAGAAATGTGTCAATTGACTTTTAAAACTGTTTTGGTTTCACTAGCAACAAAATTAGCAGACCAATATATTTTGACATTGACAATTTGGCAGTACGTAACGCGTCCCGAAAGTAAGTACTTTTACCTTACTCGCAAGCTTCCCAGAATCGCTTAAATATCTAGGATTCTGAGGTGTATCTAACTTGCCCAATTTTTGTCTGAATGCAATCTGTGTGCTCGTATTATATGCAAGACACCATATTAGTGTTATTTTTGAATATTCCCAGTATCAATTGCTGGTTATTTTGGTGTTACAAATCTGTTTACAATCCGCAACAATTCTGCATGAAATGATTCATCGCCGCGAAAGGTAAACGCACACTGCGGCGCATATAGGCACCGGGGTGGGGGTAATTCTGCCCGCAGAGCGGTACCGTCAGCGTGCTATATATGTCATTACTCGCTCCAGCACGGTGGAAAGTGGTGGTTTGACCCAGCAGCAGGGCGACGTAGTGGCACGCGATCGCAATCAATTCAATCGTCCGCGATGGAACCCTTCTGCAAGGTACTCGTGATGGAAACGCGACAGCTTAGGGTACTGAGACCTCACCTCCACGAGAACTTAGTCGCCAGGGAGGCGCACAAGAAAGGCGTCGTGAAAAAATGCCTGTTCGGTGTAGCGGATCCCCTGGATACTCAGAGGATGCTAGAGGAGCAGTGCGAGGTTGATAGAAAACGGATATTTGATAAATACGGGATCGACTTGCAAGACATCGAGGATTTGGAGAACGACCAAAGCGACGTGGAAAATGACAAGAACGGACAGAACAAACCAAAGCCTATAGGCGGTAGGAAAATACTGAAGGCGAAGAGAAAATCGTCCGGTGGTACGCAAAGTGCGTCGAGGCGGAATCAGAATTTTATTACCGGTGAGTTATTAATCTATATAGTTCGAAATTTGCAATAATATAGGTACAGTCGTCGGAACGAGTCATATTAATTCGTCTTTGCCTCGTTACTATGCGAATTGCTGAAACGTTCTTAATTAGACGAGTCAAGGTGAACGTACCTATGTAAGGCGATTGTTTTGACATTAGACGGTAGGTACCACGCTAACATGCGGTTACGTTGTCACTAGTTTTGACACGTCGCGAGTTTAAGCAGACTGTTCCTACATTTAGTTGGAACCGTTTTTTGTCGAATTATTTTAATTGTGCAATTCTTTAACCTGTGTAAAATAAAGCAGATACTCTAATTTCCATCATAAATTAGGTGGGGTATGACTATATTTTAAAAAAATGAAAAAATATACTATGCGACACATTCACAAACTTCTTCAGAGAGATTCATCAGACTCGTGGCATAGTATACTGCCTTCCAATTGAAAAAAAGATAAAAAGTTTTGATGAGTCGTGTCATTCGTAGATCCTGCTTGTCACCTGACTCCAAATTCGAACATTTTGTTAGTTCATGGCATTTTATAACTTATAAATTTCAACAGCAGTCAATACGGTTTATCGAAATTAATCGATTTGAACGATTATTTCTTAAAGCCAAACTAATTTACTGTAATTGGTTTTTAATGGAGCATAAATTAAAAGTGATTTTGCTGCCATTTTGCAATCTAAGTGGACGTCGTTTTCGACAAAGCCCAGATGATTCACCATCAGGAGAAAACATTTTCGACAAATATTTGTATTTATTCATTTTTGTTTTGGTTAGGTTTTTAGATTACATAGAAGTCATATTTATGACTTTTATAACAATTTGGTACCTGTTAAAGAAGTAAACTGGTAAAAACTATAATAGACTAATAAAAACACGCGTGATGTAAAAATAAAAATATCTAAATTAGATTAAAATTATTAATTTAGTGATTATACTCGACAAAGCCAGACTTTATGTTTTCTATGTTTTAAGGATTCGGCTACTAAAAATTAGATTTCCTAACTTGTTTTCTAATTTCGTGTTCTTTGGTGATAAATATTTTTTATAAAAAATGCTTAAGACGAAAAGAGAGAATAAAAAAAAAGCTTCATAATTAAAAAATATATAATGGCATAAACTATGCTTTAATTTTCATCCGAATAAAAATCTCAAGACCCTACGAACACATGTATATAGAAAAAAAAGTCGTATTTTAGCTTGAACAATGTGTCCTGCAAATCTGGGTATTGAATTTCCAAACATAATTTATTGCTTCATAATTTCTAAACACGCCACACGAAGTGCGATCAAAAATCTTTTTTCTGAAACACAAACTTTCCTATTTGGAGTCGCCAAAACCCACTAACGCTTCAAAACTCGAAATTTGAGGATTCCGTTTGGATTTCTCTTCGGAATTTCCCGTAACAGGCAAAAAATCCGCTCGTGTTTTCGCCTGTTCGATGTTATCGCATCGGAAGATAAACTATTATCACTAAAACAACAATCTAACGCAAAAGCAACAAACTTCGGACGTAAAGCGGCAACCAAAGTGTATATACAACATTTTTTTCACCACACCTCGTATCCGTCTACCTTTCACCACGACGCGTCTGCTTTTCGCAAACTGTCTACCGATAGCAATGCAAACAATTTTTTTTTCCTCAATTATTCGTCACGTTTCATCTTTGGAAATAGACGCTGACGCCATTGGAATGGTCCGTTGGGCCTTTAGGTCGGCGTACTCGACGGATTGGGTGTCTTTCGAGTTGAGACGCTCATTAAAAGATCGTTTTGATGTCGATTTTCGTTGCAAATTGGCGCCTATTTATTCTGAGGCATTCCAAAACTGATTTATTCATTTAATGCTATCGCGAGAGCACAAAGTAAATCGTTCCGAGTCAGCAAGTAAGGTACCGTTTACCGATAAAACGCTCCATCGAGCGATAAGGGAATTTCTCAGGCATGCTGTGACGTATCTGGGTTTTTCATTTCCTCGAAAACAATTGTTTGCATGTTTTCGTGTGAACCGAGCATTTTCCGATCGCTTTTTTTCGGTTTTTGTCGGAAAACTAATTAACATTGCTAAAATTCAGATCGACCTTTCCCCCCCAAAAACTTTAATTGCTTTTTCTTGTTTTCTTTGTTGTCTATAACGTGCAATTGTTTTACTGTCAACTATAAATGGAGAAAAAAGTGTAAAATTGGAAAACTAAATAAATACAACCCTGAGTTCAGCTGGGCGTTCGCTTTTTAACCACTTCCCTTCCGATTCTTTTGTCCTCGACGCTTATGGGTTCTGTCGAGTATTTACCTACCTGGCCTTACGCCCACGCAAAGATTCCCGCCAAAATTTCGCGCCATTTTTGGAAGCCCCGAAGATTATGTATTAAATTGCCGGTGTCGTTTTATCCAATTTTTTTCAAGGGCATTAACACTATTTGTTTGCACTGGCATTGGTTTCATTTCTACATGTCTCGACGTTTCGGTCGGAATGTATCTGCAGACGGTTCAAGGAGAGAATTGTATTGTATTATTGTTAGAACCTGTGTTATTGCGGCGAAGTTTATTTTTCAATTAGGATTTTTTCAGTATTTTTCAAAAGGTATCCATTTCTGTGATAAGTAATAATTAAATTTTTCTCAAAAATTGTAGTCCGATGACCCATTTTTTAAAAAATTCGTTTTACTGAACGAAAACGTGTACGTGTGCCTTGGTAAATTTCAAACTGATAAGTTTTCATTATTATTTTTGCATCACTTAAGCTGTGACGTTAATATTGCATATAATTTAATTAATTCTTTATTGTTAACTAAGTAAGGCATATTTAAGACACAAAGTAATTCACACTTTTTTAGAAGGCCCTTTGCTAACTTAATTTCAATAAGTTGTTTTCGCCAAATAAATAAAGAGACATTCAGACCAGTTTATAATTAACAATGATAAAATCAAATAACTATCAGTTGACAGTTTCTACGTCTACATTTGTTACTATAAAAAAAATCAAAAACTGTCGTTAAAACTTTTTATTCAAAAACAAATAAAATTTGCGAAATATGTTTTTTCTGCATACTACATGTTTTTCTACTAGAAAAAATTCCAACAGAATCTAGATTGACTCACTCTTTAGGACAAGAACTAACGTATTGTTTTTATAAAAAATCCCACAACCAGCTAAGGTGATTATTTTCTAAATATTTGGGGTTTAAAATATGTGGCAATGAAAATGTGCATTTGGTTTTGTCCGAGGATGCGGTTTTAATCACGAACGAAACCGGATCACCAGATAAAATAAACATGGATCCGATGATCGATAAAACACAGAGCAAACAAATTCATTTCGCGTTCCAAATTAAACTCACACGACGTTCTCCAGACCGTGACTCCCCCGTTGAGATTTATCGGGATAAAGTTTTGAGTTACGCGGTAAAGTTGGAGCGCGTAACGTTTCGAGCGAGGAACGCGTTCACCTTCACGGTACCGTGACGCCGTCTCACGCTTATCTATCGCGATGAAAGCGACGAGATAATCGAAGGTCGCAGTAATTGTCCGCGTTGCTAATTGCCGCGTTCCCGTGGGAGAATCCGTTACATAATTCGGAAAAATAGCCCCTACAGCAAAACCGTTTTCTGGCGAAATGTGATATCTTTTACTAGAATGGATAATGGAATAACACGGGGTTGAAAAAACATCAATTTTTCTTAGGGCTGTGGAAATGACCTGTCAATTTTCTTTGGGTTAATTGACCAGTGAATTGACCGAAATAATTTTAAAAACTCCGTGAAATTTATATTTATTTATATTGTGCGTTATGTATGGTCGATTTTACTTTGCCCCTCAGATTTAGCTAATTTTACGTTTTTTTAATTACTTCAAAATGCTGTCTTTCTACGCCACGATCGTGTTCGCAATGAGGAGGTTCTCAGAAAAGCTGGCGTAGAGAGACAGCTTTTTGAAGTAATTAAAAAACGTAAAATTACCTACATCGGCCGAATACTCTGAGAGGCAAAGTACAGAATCCCGCAGTCAATCCTACGAGGAAAGATCGAGGGCAGCAAGGCGTCGGTCATAAGCAGATTTCCTGGTTGCGTAATATAAAACATTAGACAGGTATATATAACACTGGTGAGCTTTGTCACGCTGCTATCAGCAGACCTTGTCTTTGAGATAGTCTCCAACGCACTACGTGTAGGGCATGTTAAGAAAAAGAGGCATTGGGCGTTACGTCGCCGTCGCGTCTTTCTGGGAACTAAATGGAGTCGATATTATTATTGGGATTTCCCGAATCGCTGAGTATCGCATTCGGATATTCCTTATAGGTAAATTGGACATCACAAACGCATAATAATTTATTATAAAATACACATTATTCATTATTATTGCATTGGCCAATTGACCATTCCCAACACTAGTTTTGCTCCTTGTGGATGGAAGCGACACTGGATTGGAACATAGTTAATACTAACTAACTAAAACTAATACTAGTTAAAGGTAAAACTGAGTCCCGGTGACGTTTAAAACTTGAGGATACCTACACCAGTCGAAAGGTGCCGAATTCCTTCCAACGTCAGATGTTTAATGCGGGAATTGGAAACAGATGATCCGCGCAGAGCCAGCTGCCCTTCCGATCTCATTAGAACTTTGTTAGAATGAAATTTCGACGCGCTTCTCGCTTAGATTTGGCAACGGCATTTTTGTAGATGTGAATTAACCAAAGGCGTTTGTTTAGCCATAAAACTGCAAACGACGTTACAGCGAACAAGCGTATGATCGGACCATTTTTTTTTTTAATTATAACATTAAAAAGGAAAAAATGCTATTAATCCTTTTGAAATTGTTGAAATAAATAATGTTTTATTTGCGATATTACCATACAAGTGGACTTAACTTTAACAGAAAGTCTTTTAATATTAATAATAATAAACGTCTTTTTGTTATTGTTGTTGATTCGTGTTTTTAACAAATATTAATCTTTTTGTTCTTCGTTTTATTTTTTTATAAAATTGACCAAAATTAGTCAATTTGTATATCTAAACAAAAAAGAGCGAAATTCAATGAAAAAAATGAGGATCAATTTAGATATAAAGTCGTCCTTGAGCTGTTTTTAATGTAGTTTTTCTATTTTATATATATTGTTTTGTATTCCATAATGTATTAACCAAATACAGCAACGTGCATTTTTTGAAAAACAAAAAAAAGGCTCCTGATTTTTAAAGTATTTACAAAAATATCATCAACACCTTACCAGACAAAAAAACGATTTATAAAAAAGCGAAGAACTTCTTGGCCATTATCTCTATATCCAGGCGATAAGCAGTTTACGTCTGATTTTACGACACCTAACTTAAAAATGTGTATATTGTCTGTCTATTCGCCGTCAGTTTTTTATAACAATATTCTTATTGTTTTTTTTTTATTGCAGATTACTACTCTGCCAGAAAGTCGCTACATCAACGCTTGGAAAAGAAGGACACCCAGCAGAACTGATCTAAGTCGTCGTTCAGTTCATCGCAGTTCCTAATTAAGAGATAAGACTGTACATAATTTATTCCATACGGCCTCTATCCAAAGCGCTTTTGTTTCTCAGTTTCAAAAAGAGTTTATAGCCTCGTCGTGAACAGTCTAGTCGTTGTCGATATGTAAATACCGTGTACATAACTACGTTAGGAAAAAATATACTTTACTAATTACTTAATTAATTTTTGCGTTTTTCTTTGTGCGTGTCTGCTTTGCCAATGTCGCGAGACGGTCGTTTAGAGTTTTAGTATAATTGAAATATTTTTACCTACCGAATTCCCGCGTGTTATACAGCGCCATTCGCAACTGCGAGGGATATTGAAGTCAAAATAAGTGCCCGACTTTTTAAATTACTTTTGTCTCAAAAGAGTTAAAAGTATCGAAGTTTTAGTTTTCAAACGAACCTCCTTTATATAACATTGTAATATACCAAGCACTTTAAGTGTTTATAACTGAATCGATTTAAATAGAACGCCAAGTTGAAACGTGACACCCCGTATAAGGTACCGAAGTTGTTACTATTTTCTATACTATTTTTATATCATTTTTAAAAACCCTTAGGACAAGATGATAGTAATTTTAAAAAGTATCCATAACGATATATCGCAAAAGTGAAACTTTTTGAAAAAATCACTAATTTGGGCATCAAAATTTTGTTCGCACATCAGCGAATATTTTTCACCTAGTGAGACGCTTCCTCTGCAGTTTGGGGTTTAAAATTTAAAAGTCTTCTACGTCTCCTTTTATGATACTGTAACAGCAGGTGCGGCAGTCTACTCGCCAGGTGCGGGGTGGGTTTTAAATACCTCCGAGGGATCTTAAACCCCTCCGTTTAAACGCTTCCATACACGCGCGTGCTAAACTCTTCAATTGAATCTACTTTCCATTCGAGAACATTTGCAAACTTCGATGGATTTATTTAATCGTTAACAAATTCTTAGGTACGTAACTTGTTAAGGGATTATACATATATTATCAGATTTTTTTAAAAATCACAAGCAAAATTTGGGATTATTTATTAAATATTTTTGAAATAATTAATAAATAAATTGAAATAGTGTACCCGTCGACCAGCCCAGTTACTTAGGTCATACTTGATTTATTCAGGCGGCAACATTTTGTCATTGATCATTTTACTGCTGCATTGCACGTGTATGGGTGGCCTTAAAGAGCTATGCCGCTCTGCTTGGATTTTCGCCTAACACTCGGTATAAACCGGGTGTCCCATTAAAAGCAACGAGGTACGATATTCGGAAGAGGTTTAGCGCTACAAATTTGAAAAGAAAAATATATTAACGGTAATTAGAGTGAATACTGTTTTAAGGCTCAGGCGAATTCAAATATCTTTTGTTCAATTCTTTTTATGTTCGAAAATTTTAGAAAAAATGTGTCAATAGAACCAGGAAACCTGGCAACGTTTCTTAAAATTGATTTCAAATATTCAGGATGCGAAATGACCCTAAAAATAGACAGAAACAAAGCTTTGTCTTCGACAATAATAATAATATAATCAATGTCAATAATATAATTGCTATAATGTCATTGATATTAATTATACGAACAAACCCATGCATCTACAACAAATAGACTATAAATATTTAGTTTGATTAAATATCAGCTAATGTTTAACAAATAATAAAAATACTAATAAAAAGCAAAACTAAAAATAAAAAGTGCTTTTCGATCAGTTTGAGAAATCCTGAACTGTGCCATAACATTGTCCCAATAAAAAATATTTTTGACTTTCCCTATGTGATGCTTGTATTCTATGTAATCCATAAGGCGGCGACTATTTCGGGATGAGGACGAACCTGCGAGAAAAAATGCTGACGGTAAAGGTCCCGACGACAGACGCTTTTTTTCCACCGGTAAGAACCCGGGTAAAAGCAAGGCAAACACACACGTGCGATGTTTCTGTCAAGCATGTCCGGAAGTTGGGTAGCGAGAGACCCATATGGGCCGAGAAATCTAATATCGTAAGTAAGGTGAGATCCTCTGGTAAATTTAATCCAGAAGGCTTTCGAGTAGGAAACCTACCGCAAATTGCGCCTTAAATGCAGCGTACACCATCTTTTCTCTATTTTTCATATGGCAGAGTGATTAAAATTTTTGCATTGTGTCTTGTTTTTCTTAGCAGAGATTAAATTCCTTAACTAATCTTAAGGATGTAATTGAAACAACGCATTAAAATAAAATAGGTATAATTTGTGTAGTACTGTAAGGAATTTTAAAAATGAAATTGAAAAGTTTTTTTACTTATTGTTTTGAAACTCTGGAGACTGGATACTTCGGAGAAGACCCTGATTGCTCCGTCTAATTCCAGAATAGTCACGAAATTTTGATATTAAGGTAGGCGGTTATTTTATAAATCAGTTAGACGGAAATCATTATACCTTTACGTGAGTAAATATTCTTCAGTTGAGAAAAAATGAGATACAAAAAATCCAAGTTATATAATTCAAAGCAAAACAGTTATTATTATTTAATCTTGACAATAACTAATATCTTGAAAGACGTATCTAGAAGCAACTGTGTTAAAGTATTTAATTAAAAATTTTACTCTTCTTTTTCGAAAAATGATATATTCTGTATTCTTATCTATCACATCTCCTGACTCCGAGCGTAACCTATGTTTTCTCGATACAATTAACGAAGGGGGAAGGTACCAAAAGTCCCTACGTTCCTGAAAAAACGATGACGTCTTATCTCTGGCGTATCTACCCGTCGACGCGTTGATAGTTTAGTTTTATCACGTCGCGTGATACAAAAAAATGGGCACGGGTCAATATGCGGGTACGCATGTGAAGTGAATTATTCATGCCTACTGGCTACCGATCGCGCCCTTTTGGCGACAACGCAACGGGTACATCTGCCAACATTTTTCGGGAACCTCACCGATCATGGTCCGAATCCTTTTACCTCTTTCGAGCCGCGTGCCTTTAAACGTCAGCTGTACGATCCTAATCAGGATTTTGTCGTGAATACCTCTCTGAATACATACAACAACACATACAAACTCCTAAATCTATTTAAAGGCTTGACCTAATTGAACTAATTAGACAATGGCGGGACACCCGAGTTGTAAGGGGAATTTTAAGAACATTAGCAAAAAACGATCCAATATTTCTTTTTTTTTTAGGAAACGGAATACATGTCGATAGCTCACACAAAAATTATTCGATATTTCACGATATTTCAATACATTGGTTAGTTTAACAGCATAACAGCGCGGTTTTATGCCAGGGCGTTCAACACCAACAAACATGTTTTTACCTAGTTTATTTTCTGAAAAACTGTCTGATCAACATTTTAAAAATCTTTGAAATTAATAAACAAATTTTTTACGGTATACTCTTGAATAGATAATTCAAATTACAAATATTTTCATGGCATGGTAATTTTAAAAATAAGTTATTCCGACCTTATTTACAAATATGTCGTTAAACTAATTTCATATTGGCGAACCAAATTTTGAACCCTAACAAAGTTGCAGTATTAAATTTGAAGTTTGTCTGTATCACTTTTTTTATATACTCTGGATCTGGTTTTTTAAAATAATTTGCAAAAAACGTAATACGTAAAACGTAATACATAAAGCAAAACGATGCATTAGGATGGCCAAAGAAAACAAAATGCAGGTCCATATTGAAAAATTCGAAGTTGGTGATGGTTTCTAGGAAACGAAACGTCGTAAGTACTAGTATAACAGGCTGCAGGGTGTAAAAATAATAATTAGACTTTTAGATATTTTACAAAGTAATTTTCGAAAATCATCTTCAAATTTCCGAAACTATCAGAAATTTGGGAACGACCGAAAAAAAATTTATAACAAAGAGCACAAATGAAGAGTGGAAATGTCAAAGGGGTTTGTGTCATTTTGCGATACATTAACATGTTTGTACGTGCCCCCCTGCAGGTCCTGAGAAAAGGAATAGGTGCCTATCGTAATAATTGAGTAACCTGCATTATTTTTACGAACAGCGGCAATAATAACTATTGTAAATTAAACATTCTTTGTTGATTATCTCAAAAATTTAATTTTGGCACATACCCCCGTTGGCATTTTTTATCGTTTAATTTGGATCCGTAACGCCCGAAATTACAATCCACAAATGTTGTTTCCCATTGGGAAACGTCAAAATCGCAAACCTAAACCCCGAAGAAATAGCTGAGAAAAGAGCAATTCTCGCATCGACTGCGTTTCCCGCCAAAATGCACGGGTCCGTGGCATAAAAGGAGACGCAGGTGCCGCGTGCACTTGGCTGACAAGCCGAAGAAACCCTACGAACAAGGACGTGATTTCCTCGGCGAGCGTGGCAGCTGCCACGGAACTCCGTCGGTCGAGCATTGAAAGACCGAGATTAAGAAAAAGTGCAGACGAACAGGTGCTAAAAGACCCGCTAAATTATTTTTTAACCGCGACCACGACGGTCAAGGTTATTACTTTTTTTTTTTGGGAAACGAGGTAAATGGGACCCGCCCGGTATCGATTGTTATCGTAATCGTAATATAAGAACTAACAATATAGCAGGTTAATAATAATAATTAGAACAATAGAATTCCATGTTTGGACGAATGGCTAAGGGGATACGATCCCGTAGAAATAAGAAGAAGATAACCGCACTTTTCAGGAAGCTAAAAGTTTACCGTTATTTTCATATACCTTAATAGTTGTTAGATCTATGATTATTTTAATGTTCGAAAATCTTCATAAACGCTATTCAAGAAAAATGCATTTCCAGCAACGTTCTTTATAGGAACGCAAAAACCTTAAGGGAATTTGTATTATTTATTTCATCCATAAAGATTATTCGCATTTTTTATTCTACCTGCATAAGTGGCATAGTGGCTCTCTGATGAACAATGATGAAAAACAACGTCATCAATGTGAATGCTGGAGTTTTGCATTTTGCGAAGTATTATTAAATGTTAAAGATGTAATTCTCATTAAGTCTACTATAGGAGTCGAGAAATTAAAGCACATTTTACAGAGTGGCTTCAAACTAGCAAAATGAAAACCATTTCCTATGAAATTTAGGATCAATTAAATATTGGAATTGGAATATTCGTTTGTCGGTAAGTTGCAAATGTATTCCAAAAAATGTGTTTCGAAGAATAAAATTTTTATACCAAAAATCATTGTTATTTAAGAAAGGCACCGAACAG